ATTATAAAATAAATAAATGTTGCAGAGGGATGTTGGATTGAGTCATCCTCTTCTAGTCGGCGTATCATGAAGGTCATCGTCCGTGGCCATGAATGACAGAACAGGCATTAAAAGATGAAGCACGGCTGTGATTAAAGGGTTAATTGTTGGCTGGTGGTACTCGAGGCTGATCTCACCGGGGAGCCGTGTGATTAGAGGCTCGTTATTCGGCTTCTGCAGTGTGTTGGTTCTCTTTCGGTCCTTATAACAGACTTGTATGACCGGCCTAAGATAACAAGGCTCCTGATTGGTCAGATGCCGTGCTCTCTTCATACCGAGTAAAGAAGTATTCGCGATGAAACGATCCAGAGAGGAAATGTAACAAAAGTGCTGCTTTTCTGGAGCGTTAAAGCGCAAATAATTCAGAGGCGTTCCATGTCGCCGGTTAAATCACACATGTTCTCACGGGAGAACCAGAACCAGGACTGAGAGGGGCAGACTGTCGGACCCTGCTGCAGTAACATGAGGTTTTCTGAAGGGACTCTGGTGCTCAGAGACACTACCACTTTAGTCCACAGGGACCGCCAGAATCAACACTAAATATAAGTTACGCTTAGTAACTTTAAAGTCGCTCAACAGTAAAAAACACAGAATAACGCGATGGATTGAACCTCCATGTTTGCTGTGTATTGTTGTTTTTTAATCTCTGTGTAATTTGACGTTATTGAGAAGCAGTGAAAAGGCAAAAACAAATGTCCTTAAAGAACCTCTCGGGTCACTTCTTTATTCCTGAGATTGGTCGAAACGGACAATTCGTGTTCAGTTGTGTGCGTTTCCCGTTTGGTTCCGTTCATCTGTGTCATGTCATTCATCTGTTTAGGAACAAACATGTGCGATGTAGTGTAATGCTGCTGTGGATTCATGCTGGTCCTGGTTTGGGTTCAGATATTTCAGCTAATTGTGGTGGATTTGGGAAGGCTAGGAGGGGGGGCTCAATCTTTGAAGTATTAAGTGGACAGGGTGCCTTGTCATTAGGGCCGAGCCTTTCATCTGTACTCTTGTGTGTGTGTGTGTGTGTGTGCGTGTGTGTGTGTGGTACATTGTTGGTAGAGGGCAATGCAGGAAGAGAGAAGCTGTAATTTAGGATTCTATCAGGAAAAGAGAGCGAGAAAGGAAACAAAGTAACAAAGACAACAGTTTAGAACACGGTCACTGTAGTATTAAGGAAACGCAGACGAATTGTTTACAGGATATTCAACCTTCATATCATCATCATAATACATTTAAAACTTGACTTCTTTCTTTACAGGGCTCGTATAAAGGTAATAAAATAGTCCATGACTATAAGATATGAGTTTATAATATATTGTAGTAAATATTGAGTGTATTTTAGGGGAAGAGTCACGGTTTGGCATCTCTTATACCGTTAGTATCTTAGAATGCGAGTTTGATTCATTGAGCTAGCTGCCGTTAGCTCGCTTTGTTGATTCATAGCATGCTAGGTAGCTAGCTTTAGCCTGTAGCATACGTGCTAGCCGAGAGAGCGGAGAGGAGGAGCAACAGCTGAGACAGAATATGTTAATATGTAATTAAGATGTGTGCATTAATAAAATGGTAGTAAGTTGAATGACTAGTGAGGGTAGCAACGTTTAATCTACCGTTTCTATCTTCTCATCAAACTCTCTGCTTTAATACAAAGTCACTGACTGAGGCTGTAACAAATGCTGAAAATCAAACTGAAAGTTGCTTCAAAAATTATTTATGCGCAGGAGAAAGTTAATATTTGTCCATCAGCCCAAAATAATCACCTTCTTGTCAGAGTAACGAATAAAATTAGCACTTTCTTCCCTTACTTACTCACAGGAGAAAGTAA